CAACTTCAAGTACTTAGTACACTTTAAGTGTATAGACAAAGATATACACTTAAGTATCTTTAATTTTGTTCCATTTTAGTATTTAAAAGTATACTTAATACACTGAAAATTGTGTTTTTTACAACTTAAATACAACTAAAGTATATGTAGTATTAAATTAGTTGTTCCAAAATAGAACTCTAAGTTTACTGATGATTAGTGTAGCTTCAAGTATACTAAAGTTTACTTAGATTTAGTATACTTAGTATATTTTTTCACCTGGGTGGGCCTGGAGGGAGCCTGACATCATGTTTCAGGGGAGAACATGTAACCTCCACACATCACAGACAGGTTAGTCTGSTACATGTTCACATGATGACGTCACTCGAACACAATCCTGTAATAACACAMAGACAGCTCTGCCACACGTCCCCTCTGTGTTGGTTTATCTCACTTCCTGAAAGTTGGCCATTCTAACTGTGTGTGACGTATTTATGTGTCCAGAAAGTGTCCATTAGCCAACAGAGAATGAGCTTATGTCGGGGAAAAATGTTGGAATTTGCTTCAGCACAGCTGGTTCCTCATTTAGCTCCTTCTTTAGTGTGAGTTTATGGGAGAACATTAGCGTCAGAGAAAAGAATGAAATCACTCTCTAACTGCAGAGAGATGAAACTGCTCTATTAGTGAGTGCAATAACTGCAGAGATTTCAATATAGATTATTTTAATTTTTCTGAAGAACTGTGTTGCTCTGCTGCTTGCACAATGATTTATTAAAGTAATGTATTGTAACACACCCACACACGGAGACACACATACCTCTCTGTGGGGCATCGACTGGGTTGAAGCAGCTCCTCTCAGACCTTTAACTGTCTGCTGGTCTCTGTCAGATCTGTGATGGGTCTGTGTGGGACCGGACTTCCCTGACCTTTGACCTCGTGTTGACATCATGTGAGCTCAGGAGGCTCCTTCATGTCTGACGTCTCTGTGACCTCCTGARTACCAGCAGGAGGAGCAAACTGAAGGCTGGATGGAAGGCCAGGAGTGCCATATTAAAATAAATAAAAACCTAAATCTGGAAATAGACACACATATCAACCCCTTCATACTGTGAAATGAGCCCCACAAATCTGTAATCTTTATTAAAAAAAAACGCAGTGTTGGTCACAGCTGCAGCACAAAGCAGGAGGAAATGAGGACAAGAGAACTTCTGGTTAGATGGGGTGCTGTTTGTAAAGTTACACAGTCAAAACTCACCACCAATATTTTTGTTTTATTTAGCCTTTTATAAGAAAAAAAACAGATTTATTTTTCAAAGTCAGTTTTCACCATATGATTCATACATTTATAAATGTCATAGTTTATAAACTAAATATTTAACTTACTAATTAAATATTTAGTTAACAAGCTAAATATTTAACTTATGACTTAAATTGAGCTAAACATTTAGCTTGCAAGTTAAATATTTAGTTTGCTACCTAAATATTTAGGTTGCAACCTAAACATTTAGCTAGCACATTAAATATTTAGCTAGTCACCTAAACGTTTAACTTAAATATTTAGCTAACTACCTAAATATTTAGGTTGCAACCTAAACATTTAGCTAGCACATTAAATATTTAGCTAGTCACCTAAACGTTTAACTTAAATATTTAGCTAACTACCTAAATATTTAGGTTGCTACCTAAATATTTAAACTGCAAGCTAAACATTTAGCTCCACACAAAATATTTAAGTCAAAAGTTAAATATTTAGCTTGTTAACTAAATATTTAATTTGTAAGTTAAATATTTAACTTGTTAACTAAATATTTAATTAGTAAGTTAAATATTTAGTTTATAAACTATGACATTTATAAATGTATGAATCATATGG